ATTACTAATCATAGGCTTCCCAAATGTGGGATCTTAGAAAATAAATAATAAAGCACAGATAAAGAAAACAGTTTTGATTATACATATTTAATGGTAAAGTATACTCTTTAATAACCATTTTGACGTCCATAATATCAAATACCAGCGGCCAAAAGCTTGTTTAATTTTAAATATATTTGTTAGAACAATACAGTGTAGTATTTCAAGTCGTTTCCAAACTTAACCTTTCTGTATCCTATAATAGAGCTACTCCGGAAGTCTTTAAATATACAAAAGTTATTTATCTTATCGTATACTAACGATAAGTTCAAAGGAAAATGCGTAGCATGCGGCATTTAACATTTCAATTCAGGTTACAACTTTATTTCGAACATAACCGAACACCAAATTTTTGTTGTATTTAAATAGGCAATACCATGCAACATTCTAAGTATCTTACTAATATTATAAATGTCAATGTTAAGATGGATGGATGGATCTCTCTGAAATTTGGCATAGTTATAGAACATACAGTGGTAGAGCTTGCTTTAACATCTTCGCACGAATTGGCCCGGCTCGCCCGGTGAAATACCACCACCACGCAGAAGACGGGCGTGAAGTGGAAGCAATTCCTCGTTTCGTCTGATGAGTGTGCGTCCCGGAGGCCTAATTTAGTCCTCTTTTCCTTCCCACCTTTTTTCTTATAAGGAAAGGATGGCAAGTGGAAGTGGACTTTCCGGATGAGAGGATGCATGGAAAGGGAAAATATTTTCTTTCTGTGCATCCTCTCCTCCATCGATTAAAGGTAGGCAACGCATATGCAATTGCGTATGTCTATGGGCAACGGTCACTTCGCTATTTCAGCGATTTCACGTGGCCGCTCGCTCGTTTGCCACCTTATGATATATAAAAAAAAACATAGTCTGGATGAACACATAGGCTACTTATTAACGTTTTTAAGTGCTCGCGGACGGAGTCACGGTCAATAGCAAGTTATTGATAACTTTAAGCGTTGATTTCGCAAGCCAGTGATCCTGCGGTCCAAACAACCACAGGAGACCTCAACAAGATATTTACACCAATGTCACTTTACCTCAAGATATAATAAAAGAACATATTCTGTAACAACTTCAATAAACACTAACAAGATACAAAATATATCGTACATTTTGTACTTTTATTGCTTTGAAACAAGGTATATTTACGATAATTACTCGAACAAATTGTCTCAACTCGATGTATAACTTTATACAATTTCTATTTTTAAATTTTAATCATATCAACATTATCTAGTCCTATAAGAATTTTTAGAAATCAAATAGTTTCTCGTAACTACAACTAACTCGTAACAAAAAAAAATTAGATGTAGATAACAAAAAATTAAATTAATCGTTTTGTTTACATTATTAGTAAACATAACAAAACAATTTTTTATTACTAAGATAATATTAACATATTTGTTATTTAATATTTATATAAATGTACAATAATATTAATTAATATGGAAAATATCAAATGTCAATAAATTTTATTTTTATTTTCATAAAACCAAGATCTCTTTTCTATATTTTTATTATACAATAACATGATCAAAATGAACAAGAAAAATCTATTTATTTACGTATGTGCAAAACAATTTGCAAACAGACATACAAGTCTTCGTAAAAACAATAAGATACATAAAAACATCAAATTGTAGGTGCGTCACGTAGAGATCAAACTTAGTACGAAGGTCGACGTGTAGTGCCGAGGTCGCATCAGATTTGACTGTATGATTTATGCCTTACGTACATAATGCTAAAGAATTTTTTTAAACTATCTAAACCCGGTAATGCCACACTAAATAATTAAAATATGTAAAGTAACCACTGTCGTTTGCAACTTCTTCCGTGAGCGAGTAGAAAAAGGAGTTTGTGTAATTTTTTTTCACACCAACTTTAAACTCCTTAAACCTCCAGGGGACAATTTAGATAAAGAACTTTTATAATATTCGCCTAGGTAGTACCAGAATATCTTTTCAAAATTTCTAGTCAGAGGTTTAAAAAACATTAAATTAAATTATTTACACCATTTGAATTTTTTTTAACAAAAAAATTAACTAAAGCGCTGGCAATCATATAGTTAACGATGCATAAATAATTTGTTTTTAGTATTATACATATCTGGCAAATAAAAAAAAATCACGCAATACCATAGTAAATGTTAATAATTATACATCGTCTCTTAACCGGTTTATACTGTTTTTTCCCGTTTCTATGGACAATAAACATGAAGCTTTTTACTTTTTACACGATAAAAATAAAGATTGCGATTCGAGTTTTTAAAACTACGAACTCGTTCATCCGAGAAAAGAAACATAAATAAATAGAATCTCTATTAAACAAACATCGTTGAACAAATAAATATACGAACGGCTAATTTTAAACATGCCGATTATTCGCGAAACTATTATCTCGCTACGCTATAAATCGTTTGCCAGCCAATACACAAAGATAATGCATTTGGCAACGTTCTTCAAACAATGTCAACATTTACATTTGTTTTAATCCCAGATAATAAAATACGATCAACGTTTTTATCTATATCTAAATTTAGAGGCACGTTAGGTTTCAGTAATTTAAATTTACAGGAATAACAGTTTCATAGTACATATAATTTCAGTGTTATCACGCACACGTTCAGGTTGGTCGATAGGATATACTTGAATTAACAATTGTCATGAAAAACCTAACGTGTGTAGCTGCTGTAGCTGCATAACGAGATTTTTTTCTATTATTTAGTGATAAACAAACCTATTTTTTAATTCTGTTTCAATAACAATGTGCGTCACTGACCTTATACTTATACGTAAATATTTTTTGACATTCAGATTTACAAAACAATCTCTTTTAATATTAAAGATTTGCTGATCCCACGTATTTCTTGTTTGACAGTTATGACGTCACAACATAGCGCCGACCCATACACATTCTTATTTCAAACGTACTATATCATAAAAACTACGTACTATAGCATAATACTATAAATGCGAAAGTTTAGATGGATGAATGGATGCAGCACGGCTAAAAGAATCTCGCTAAAATTTTACATATATGTAGAACGTAGTCTGGAAGTACGCATAGGCTACTAATGTAGTTTTTTTTAATCTGTGCGGTCGGAGTCGCGGGCGACAACTAGTATGCAAATATGACTAACCTGTGGCAACAGATGTGTCGATCCTGCGCCGTATCGTCTTCTCCTCAAATGAGTAGACATAGTACTCTTCATTCAGGTCTCGCAGGAACTGTGGCTTCACCAACACGCCGCTTATCACGCCGAAGAGACGCACGAAGCCCAAAGGGGTGCAAACTGGATAAATATCACAATGATCAAATACAAAAGTATGCAACAAAAATATCTAGAATAATTTACAACACAACACCAAGTTTATAAAGCAAACATTGTCTACATAACTAGGTTTTTTTCCTTTTAACGATATAAATACATATGGTAAAATCTTAAACTATTGGTTTCCACTGACGAAACACATGCATATAAACAATCATAATAATAAAATTTATTTGCATACTATTTCTGCTGTAGAAACTAACGCTGAGATCACTATCATGCATGTTTTTGGTGACTAAAAAAAGTTATTTAAAAGAGATACCCTGTTGCCGACAGATACGGAACCTCTTTACAGGTTTTTTAATCATAATTTTTATTTTTTTTCATATTTGGAACTTTTTATTTTTTTTCCCTTTTCTCTATATTAAAAAGTAGCAGTTGTAAATATATCCTCTAACAGCGCGTGCTTATCTCTTCATTTTCATAATTTCATTTTGTCTTTTTAATTTAATATATAAATTCCAAAATTCATCTTAATCCCGTTCTTTCCATCCTCATATTTTCCGTCGTCTTTATACCCGTAATACCGACAACAGTTTAATTCTTTCATTTTTAATATCACCCTTTATAACCGACACAATAAATATCGATTAAACACAGTCGTGTCAATATGTGAATAATTCATGTTACTATTGACTTTTCGATTCCGACAAATGTTAACAACCGTAATCCAACCAATACATACATATGTCAATACCAAACCTAAGCAACTCTCTACCATGACGACCAATTACTAGTAGACTAATTATGAGAAAAAGTTGGCACTGAAATTATTGGAAAGTGATATATTATATAAGAAAAAAAAACGTAGTTTGTAATTAACTGTGAACAGAGGAATAAATCTACATAGCTATGTCAACATTAATGTAGTTATTTTAATAGCATTTATAGCTTTAGTACACTTTTTTAACTTTACCAATGTCTGAATTGTGAGATATATTAGATCAAAACCATAGAAAAATGAACTATCAATAACTTGTTTATTAAGTTTGTCCAGAAAATTATTCAGGAAATAGGGATCATTAACTATGATAATATAACAATGATTGTTGATGTAAACTCTTCCGGAACCATACCCACCTACTGTCATAACTCGTACCCATGAACATGGATTGTATTATAAACTCACAAAAAACGCTGCTCGTCAAATAAGTATCGACTAAGGTAGTCGTAATGTTAGACAAATCACTATACTATCGCTTTGAACGTAATCAAAAATTATTTCTAACTAGCGGACGCCCGAGACTACATCCGCGCGGAATTAAAACAAAAAACATAATTAGTAGCCTATGCTTTCTTCGAGACTATGTTTTTTATGTATACCAAATTTCATTTCTATGCGTTGAGCCGTTCTGTAGTACCTTCTAATTAACATTCATCCATCCATCTAAACATTCGCATTATTAGTAAGATATAATTTAATTCGTTCAATGTTTTTAGACGACAAGAAACCCGAATACTGTACGTTTTTTGTTATGTTGATTACATTAATACATAACAACGCTTCACAAATCACTCTTTAAAAAGTACAAAAAAAAAACATGACGTGCCAAAAAATCTACTAATTTGGTAACAATTTGACAGTTGGTGTAACACTACCCTTATTGACAAACTTAACAACCGTTGCTATGTTTATTGTTATGTCAATTTGACTAACAAAACAAGTTACTGAAACGTAAACGATGAACGCGAAGAAAATCTTATCAAACCCTGCTTTAAAAACCACAAAAGAAATCCAACTTGACGAGGAATGGAATAATTTCATGAAGAGAATCGGCGAAGTATCGAACTTGGTGAAAGACCTTGCCAGTGGTGATAAGGCTAAAGCTGATGCTGCAACTGTATTAGCTGATAAATATTTAGAAGGAAAGGTTATTTTAGATGAAGATATAGAAATGAAATTTAAAGATAATAGAACTGTTATAAATCAGAAAGCATTTCAAGGTCTCGATAATAACAATGCTGTAAGTGTCATAATGTTTTCATTATTTCGAGTAACATTTTATTAATTCCTTACAAATATGATTGAATACAATACGAAAATAAAGAAATTCATTTGACCTTGGTAGGACCTTGATAGGATATTGAACAATTTATAAGGACAATTTGTAGCTGTATCATATAATAGACAATATCTTTTTCTGGAACCTCATAACAATTTAATGGCGCTAATGTGACAGATGTGCCCATTATCTTCTTAATTCCATTAATAATTACGCAATTACTTCATTTTTTTATCTATGATAGTTACACGTGTTCGTTGCTTTTGATATGGTCGTATGCATGTATGTTAGTAGAAAGCGTGTTGGCTTTCGAACGCGTATCAATATTGGCGTTTGTTTTCTCTCCCGTACATTTGCGTTGGTGTGATGTAAAGATTATTTTTGTCCTAAGAAATATGTTTTAAGGTATTATTTTGGGCTAATGAGATACTAAATATAGCAGATGCCCCCAAATTCCAATATGACGAAAATAGATTTAAGACAAATTGAAAGAGCTTACGCTGTTTGTTAAAAACAACGTATTAACGCTATTTAAACAGGTTAACGTAATTTATACGATTAGTAGTATTAAATCTCCGTATAATTCGAGTAACAAAAGCCGTTATAGAGTATTTAGCAATCCATTGGTGTGCAATAGGAATAGAAAACATTCCGCAAACACAAAGTTGGTCGCCAAGCCGCGAGGAATGCTGACCTAAATGCCTATGCAACGAGAATCAATTAAGCAAAGAGACGAAATAACCATTTGAGTAGAGTTTCGTAATTATCTTCCACAAACTACATAATGACTAAGTTTTTTGTGTATAGTTGTATTTCCTGTTTAACATTAGAAAATATGAAAATTTGTGGTTGGGAAGTAATAAATAATCCTGTCAAACAGTTTACCTTATTCTATTAAACAATCGATATTTTAAACTTTGATAAAGTAAACAGATCAATGAAAAACATACCATACACATATTTATAAAAAAAGAATTAGAGTCAATTGAATTTAATTGTCAAGGGTGAAATGGGTAAAGAAGCATGGATGGCAGAGGTAAGCAAAGACGCGGAGAGACGAGCTGAGGACCGCAAGATACGTCGCGAGAAGATGGACACAATGAAGACACAGGCTATGAAGGCCTTCCGACGGGGTGATTACGACAGGGCCCTGTCCTGTTACAATCGCGCAATTGAGTTCATAAGGGACAACCACATGTTGTACTGCGATCGTGCACTCACCAACATCAAACTGGGAAACTATCGAAAGGTATATTAAGACAGATCAAATATACAACAACATAATATTACATAACAAACAGCAATACGCATTAGACCAACGTGTATGATTAAGACCTATTCTCCCCTCTTGCGTATAGTAGGATTCCAGCCCCTTAGTGGCAAAGTTTATGAGCTGAGGACATAAAACCTTGTTTGCATTCAACGTGCTTTTAAAGGACTGCCGTCCTCTTGCAATTGGAATTACGATAAGGAAGACGACCAGAACAGCCTTCGTTGTTTAAATAAAAAACGAAGAACAATTATATAATAAAATCATGTTTTATATTTTTTGTTTAACATTATCGTCGAGTTAAGCACGTTTATAACTTGGTTACTTTTCAGAAACAATAAATATTATAATATACGCTTGTTTTTGACATGGCAAATAGTACTTAAAACCCTGTGTTGTTTTTTAAGGTTCTTGACGACTGTGATTGGGCATTGCGTTTAAACGAAAAGAGTTTCAAAGCTCGTCTATACAAAGCTAAAGCATACAAGGAATTGGAAGAAATTGACAAGTTTGATGAATGCAAGAAAGAAGTAGAAGAAATGTTTCCACAACATCATGAACTTATCACTTATTTTCTTAGTAAGGAGGAAAATTACGAAGATAATGAAAAATGAATTTCTTTACGTTTTGTTTTTTGATTCGAATTCGAACGAAAGTTCTGTTTTTTCTCATTATTTTGTTATATATAAAATACTCGTGTCACATTGAAATTGTTATATTTTTATTTCGTTTGTTTATTAATTTTTATTAATTAATTTGCACATTCGTATGATAATTAATGCAGATTATATGTTTAAATGTGCATAAAATCATCGTGAGAACTAAAACTATTATTACAGCATTTATTTTAACTGGGTCTCTTATTTCTTCACCGAATGTGTAATCTATATTGCTGTCAAAATTACAAGATATTATTTACTTGATAACATACTGGCAATTACAAGATAAAAACCATAATCTTGTTTGATTTACTAAGTAACGTAAACAGAAACTGATTGGCGGATTGCACTTTGATAATTGTAAAATAGACGTGGTGTACAGGTAATTGGTGGAATTGTAAATTTAAATATTTTTCTTTTGCAATTACTGAACATTTGGTTTTGTTTGTGCTAGTTACAAGCATGTTTTAGTACAGATTTTGGGTATGTAAGAACCTGGTATAGTTTAGATAGAGATAATTTCTACATACAAATTACAGTACAAATGAAACAACTAATTTCTAGGCTTTGTAATACAGAAACAGTGTCATGTGTATAAGTAAAAAATATTTTATAACAAATTAAACTATAAACTACAATATGGGTTTATTGAATGAATAAGAGATCCCTAAAATGATTGGTCGATAAGTCGCTAATACTTCACTTAGTAATAAAGATAACAAAACAAAGATAATAAATTCTGATAAAGATAAGAATTACGAAATTTATTTGGGTAGCAATGTATCTAAAATAGATATATTGCAACCAAATTGTATAAAAATCAAAATAATGACAATACATATTGCTTGATAACTGATATTAAACACATATATCTATGAAATTATTTAAAAGATACAAAAATAGTGTTATTTTTTTGCAATTCACTATGTTTGTCAACACAACCACAACATTTTTCAAGATCCATAGTAAAAATAAAATCAAATATGACTCACCAAGTAACATCAGAACACCCACAAAAGATACACAGGAATATAAGAAAGGCAGATAAGTCCACAAACCTGTGAACAAAAAAACTCATTAAAATGCAATTAAATAGTCTCGAATTTTAAGTTTTCTATTCTATAAAAATAATTGACATCAAAGATTAATTTGATTTCACTTGTATCATATTTAAATTTCTATTGAAACAAAAATTATAGAAACTTAAACTTACTAAGGAGAGCATCAATGCTGGATCTGTCTCCCTCAAGCCAAGCTGATATAACATATGCCAAGCCTAACATCACCACACCCAGTAGCCCCAGGACTATAAATGTCTCATATACACGTCCACGCAGGCCACGGCACCCCGGGAAACCAGATGACTCAGAGAATAAATATGCAAATGGCAGGAACACAAATAATGACAGATTTGAAAATAGAAAGACATGATTCCAAAGACCTGAAACATAAAAACCAGGTCAATTTTTAACTAAAAAAATTATAATTCTCAAGATATTATATCTTATATAATACATAGTAAATACAAACCTTGAATTAGAGAGCTATTCAACCATTTAACATAATATGTATCAGTGTACAAAATAAGAACTTCATTACTGATTATTGATAATGGTAGCAATAAAGCAGAGCCCAGTGACACAGCCAGGGCAAAGGTACAGAGCCACAAACTGATCCTGTACACTTTGACTTCATCCTCATCAGCTGTAAAGTAATCCTCGCTGTCACGCCGGCGAAACTTCTCAATCAGCATAAACGATAACAGATATAATAATATAAATAACAGCAAGAATATCTGCAACAAAATATACAAGAATCAAAGTATACAAATAAACTGCGTATAACTATTCTTAAAATGACAACGTAAAATGTATGTCAAACTTACGATCTGCTCCCGAACATTATTGTGGAATATCTGCTCGCGCAAATCAGCCTCCTCATCATCCATCATTTACCATTCGATTGTTTTTACCTTTTTATAAACATCTTAACAAAGTGTCCCACATAAACTGACCACTGCATCATAAAATATCACAACAGTAGACTTATCTATTTTTTTGTTCACATTTTAAAGATTTCATTTAATATTTTGCACAATAAATAATGATTGCCCTTACACGTATAAAAATTAACTTTTTATTTCACACAATTGAACGATGAACAATGTACAACACGACTAATTTTTTTTTGTAATTATTATAACTGAAACAGCTGAAAGACAGACAATGACAATGACAAACCAAATGACAATGACAATTGAAACCATAGGTTTACAAGACAAAAAAGAGTAAGAATTTGTCTATTAATGTTTTATGAGTTTATTTGCTAATTAAAATGATTAAACATTAAAAACAACATTTGTAAATATTTACTATCCGTAACAACAATGCAAATCACAAACCACAACCAATATGTAATGGAGGACAAATGCCCAAAAGGTAAGAAAAAAAATCATTCATAACCACACTCACTCTTTGTTAATTAATATGTCACAAATCAAAAGTCTAATTGACAAATATCAAAACAACAAAACATGATCAAACATGAAAACAAGTTACATTTTCTTTAATTTTTAATTTAATGCAGTATATATTCTTATTTATCATGATTGAAATATACAACAGTAGAAAATGAATTCTTCAAATTCTTTCATTCAAAACACTGACAGAACTAACCTTACTGGTATGAACGCTTGTTTAAAACTGTGCAGTTTAATTCTTTCCAAAAACTACTAAGTAAAATTTATGATAGATGTTTAATAATATATAAATATGTATCTCATACCTTAATAAATATTTTCAGATTCGTCACTATCTAAGAAACCAGAATTTTCAATAAGAATAGTAGTATGCGATCATTATCTTACAAAACCAGTACCTGGTATTGATGTTATATATTCTGAATTTAGAGGATCGGATATAAAACAGGTACAATAAATATAAAAATATTTAAATATACTTTTTACATAATTGTTTTTAATGGTTTCTCTATCAAACTTCATACATGTAATCATGTGTTCATCTGAATGTATAGCTTATGTGTTTTAGCCTTCATAATTATTTAGAAAACTCGCCCAAGTGAAAAGCTGTAAAAAATATTTTTTGGCTTATCAGGAGAATATTTTTCTGTTTTTAGGTGCCAGTGCTTAGAATTTTTGGACCTACACCAGAAGGAAGGAACGCATGCCTTCATATTCATGGTGTTTTCCCTTATTTTTATTTACCATGTCCTACATCAAATCCAGAACCACAATTACTGTATCAGGTATTATATTACTTTATTAACAAAGATATGGAAATTAATATTGAATTTTAAAAAAATATGGTGAATTCAAACCAAAAACAAAACAAAATCATCATAAAATGTTCTCTGATCCATAGATATTTTAACTTAAGGAACATTTTAAGTTTAAGTGTATATAATTTTAAATGTTACAGATTGCAGCAAGCTTAGACAAGGCTATAAATATTGCATTGAAACAAGCAACATCTGTAAATCAACATGTATATAAAATATCTTTGGTTAAAGGATTGTAAGTTTTCTTAATTCCAAATTAATGTTCTTATACTAACTGTAGCCCATGACTCCCTCTGCCCGGAATTAAAAAACTTAATTAATAGCCTATATGTTCTTCCAGACTATGTTCTACACGTATGCAAATTTCAGGGACATCTATGCAGTTATTCTGGAGATACCTTCAAACAAACATCCATCCATCTAAACATTCGCATTTATAATATTAGTAAGATAAGCAGGTTAATCTTAATTTTTATTTCTATTTTCAGACCTTTCTATGGATTTCATGACAAAGAGCACTTATATTTAAAGATATTTCTGTATAATCCAGGCTTAATAAGACAGGCAGTTGAGTTATGCAGCAATGGAGCTATTTTGGGTCAACCTCTACAGCCACATGAATCTCACCTTAACTTCACATTACAGTTTTTCATAGATTTCAATTTATTTGGTATGAGCAATATAGATTTACAAAGTGTTAAATTTCGTAGAAATGGTCTATCGCAACATAGTAATGACCCTTTAGATGAACTTGATGAAATCAATCTGAAACCGGAAAGTATATGTTACTTTGAAGCTGACTGTGTCGCATCACAGATTATAAATAGACAGAGAATAGGAAAAGCAGACGGCATAGAAAATCCAGGTCTAGAAGAAGTATGGAATCAAGAAATGGAAAGAAGGAAACAGTTAGATATATCTCTAGCATCGAAATCGTTAACTCAAAGTAGAAATAGCACGGATGAAACAGATTCACATTATAAATATCAAAATATGTTTTTAGTTAAAAATTCTAATTTAATTGATAAACCAATTGAAATAGAGACAAAGGTGGCAAATGATCCTAAAGTACATTATCCAGCAGAAATGACTATGGATGGATCACAACTTTATAATGCAACCGATGTCAGTACACATTTACCTGAAAACACAAGTTTAACATTAAATAAAACTTTTAGAAATAATAGTGAAAATGCTATTCTTGACACCACACTAGTAGATGAAGATATAGCATTGAATAGCAGTTTTTCTCTACATTACAGTCAAGTATTATGTAAGTTAAGCTTTCAACGATTGTGTCCACTCATTTTAAAAAACAAATTAGTAGCCTATATATTCCCGACTGTGTTTTACATCTATACAATATTTCAACGAGATTTGTAGCCGTTATGGAGATTATGTCTAACAAATATCCATCCATCCATTCATCTAAACATTCGCATTTATAATATAAGTCAAATTAGCAGATAGCAGTGAAAATATTCAATGTTTATATTGTGAAGGAAAACATCACTATGTAACATGCACATATCTGTCAAGGAATTCATTGGTTGACTATGGCCTAATCACCTCTCACTTAGGGTAGGCTCCGAGCCCCTCAGTGGGGACATACAATTAGCTGGGGATGAATATAATTGTACTTTAAATTGTGATCAATATTTTAATATAAATATGTTTCCAGTGGATAGTGAAGATTTTGAATTAGTTGATATGCTTCAAGATTTAGATGATAAGCAAATAGATGATGATAGTGTAATGGGTACTCAAAAGGACATGGCCGAAGAAGTAAATTCTGACGCTGAACTTGATAAAGAATATTCACAAATATACAATGATGATACTATTTGTTTGGATCGGGATAAATGGTATGTGATATAAGGTAATATTGTAATCATTTATAAATGTTTTAAAACCAGAATTTTTACACTCTAAAAAAAAGAATATATTTGATGATTTCAGTGAAAGTGATGCTAAGGAATCGACACCATCTTGGAATGATACATTTTGGGACGGTGCTAACATATCACAATTGGATGGAGCATGTGATGATGATCGTAAGTCTATTAAATTTACATATAAGTAAATAAAAAAAAACTCGTACTAATTTTAAAATTGTTTCAGATGTTAAAAAAGTAAGAAAAAGAAAAATGACATCATTTAAACTTGGTCTATCTAGGCCAAAAACTAAAAAGTCCACTAAAACAGAAAATAATGAATTAAATAAAAATTTGAGTACAGAAACGATAAAAACAGAAGAAGAAATAAAAGTATTAGATGTTTCAGAAAGTAAAGAATCTATGAATACAACTCCAAAAAAATCTTTAGAAATGTCAATAGATGTACTAGACATAAGTTTAAATAAGGAGAAACCTGAAGAAAAAGTGATTAACACTAATATATCTCTTACTGAATTAGTTAAAATAAAATCTGAAAAAATGAAACAAGAACCAGCTATTGAATATGATAAAAATAATAAATTTGAACCAATCGCAGGACCATCGAAACTAATAACTAATAAAAAGAAAATTATCATCCCTGATAATTCTATAAATGATTCATTTGATTCATCACCAGATGATGTTGGCATCACAAGTTTTTATGACACATCAAAATTTTTGGATACATCTTTAGAAATTGATACCAACTTATCTCCAGAACCCGCAAATCACACTAAGATTACTATCGAACAAAACCCTATAAATATTAAAATATGTGAAGATACTAAAATTAAAAAGGAAATTGAAGATTTAAATGATAAAAAAATTATAATAACACCTAAAATAAAACCACCTACTACAAATTACGTTAAATCAACATGTCAAAAGTATTCGATACCAGAAAATCTTAATTTGAAACCTTTTTTCTCTAATTACAAAGATGTTGGTGACAAAATAGAAATAGGTCAAATGGTCATTAAATTACAAAGTCATCAAGCACGCGATATGAATCCGTTTGAAAAAGTATTAAACACAACTAGTATAGAAGAATGGAGGCAATTATTATTTCTGCAACAGACAAATGAAATGCCGGATGATATTGCAAAACCAGAAATACTTAAATCATTATTAGCGGGGAATAAACAATACATTTTAGAACCGATTAACAAACCTCCTACAACACGTGATGTTATTAATTGGATGAAACAAGAAGAATTAACAACAGAATCTAATTTAAATTGTAAAGAATTAAAAGATATTGATGAACTAGAATCATCTCAAGTTATAGGTTTAAATGATGATGAAATTAACAGTAGCCTTAGTTTAGAAAGTACAGATAAAGTAAGTATATAATTAAGTAATTTTACTTAAATACTTAATGTATTTTTTAATTAAATTGTTATTTTTTTATAGGATATAACAAAAATAACCAACAGTCTTCAAGCTATGCAACCTGATGGTTCATTTCTTTGTTTCGGAAGTACAGAAAATCAAAGTGAAAGTATTCGAGACTCACCTGCATTGGAGGTATGTTATCTTATTATTTGAATTCTGAAAAATAAAGTATAATAAGCCTTAATGTTTCTTTGACCAAAATTAAAAAAAATATATTTTATTGCTGTTTTAAATTTTTAGGTTAATTTTCTTACATTAATGCTAATAGAAGTGCATACATCTGTTCGTTTAGATTTGAACCCTGACCCATCAATAGATCCTATCCAAGCCATATTTATTACTGTAAAAAATGACTGTCCAACAAATCATTTTCTACAAAATGAAAAGACAGTAATACTCGCAATAGATTCACTTCAACCTCCAAAACTATTGGATAGGTGCGTTTTTAATTCACAAGTGACATACGTAGAAAATGAAATTAAATGTATAGATAAATTGATACAATTAGTAAAAGAAAACGACCCTGATATTTTATGTGGATACGATATTGAAATGAACTCTTGGGGTTACGTTATAGAAAGGGCGCAAAATTTAGGCATTGAGGTTATAATGGAAATTTCTAGAATAACCGAGAAACATCGACAGAAGAGATGGAGGAATGATGAAAGTGAATTAGAAGGGAGGGTAATTGGAAGAATTACGTTTAATGTATGGCGTCTGTTTAGACATGAGTTGGCATTATCCAGTTATAGCTTTGAGAATTGCATGTACGTGATATTAAATGAGAGGGTACCAACATATAGCTACGCACAATTATCAGAATGGTGGAATGATGAATCAAGGATTTTAAGATGGATTCCAGTTGAATATTATCTCACTAAACTGTCCGGAACAGTTAGGATGTTGGAGAAACTAGATATGATAAGTAAATACATCTTTAATTTCTTCCTAATAAAGATTTAATTCAAAAAAATTGAAGTTTAAATTTAAAACAATGTGTTACTTGTGTCTCCATTTAGATCGTACATCAGAGCTGGCTCGTCTGTTCGGTCTGCAATGGTGGGAGGTGTTGTCCCGGGGCTCTCAGTTCCGCGTGGAGTCGCTCATGTTGCGTGCAGCTCGACCTCTAAACTTAGTCGCGTTGTCGCCTACAGTACGACAGCGAGCCGCAATGCGTGCGCCAGAATGTCTGCCACTTATATTTGAACCAGGTTACTAATATATATTTAATATCAGTAATAGTAGAATTCGTGTTCAATTCCTTTTTATGCCAAATAACAATAAATGCATATATTTTTTTACAGAATCCCGTTTTTATTCGGATCCAGTGATAGTATTGGATTTTCAAAGTTTGTACCCTTCTATGATGATCGCCTACAACTACTGCTTCTCGACCTGCATCGGTCGCGTGCAAAATATTAACGGGTATGTTATTATACCATTATTATAATGCTACTTTTTATTATTAAATTACCTTTTCATATTTTCGCACCAAAAACATTTGATTTTATAATTTAAATCCCTATTCCATTAGACAGTTACAAATCGCAGTCACGATCGCGCTAGTGGAAATTTCACATCGTTATAAATAAACACTTAAACTATTTATAAAAAAAACTTACTAAGTAGCCTATGTGATCTTCCAGACTATGTTCTACATCTATGCCGAATTTCTTCAAGATCCATTGAGCCGCTCCGGGGATATCTTCTAGCATCCATCCATCCATTAACAGTTTCGCATTTGTAATATTAGTAGGATTTTACAAATGACAAATTCTATTAATTTTAGTGATGCGCCATACGAATTCGGCGCATGGCGTTTACGTATACCTAAATCAAAGTTGGACACACTAGTGGGGAATGAATTAGTGCATTGGTCACCTGTGGGCGTGGGCTTTATCAAATCTTCAGTGCGTCGTGGTGTGTTACCTGCGCTACTAAGACGAATCCTCGCCGCGCGGCAAGCAGTCAAGAAGAATATGAAACTGCAAACTGATGAGGCAGTTAAAAAAGCCATGCATTCAAGACAATTAGGTAAAGAATCTGTAATATAGTTCAACTTGCAGTCAAAGAATTTAATTCGCTACCCACTTAGGGTAGAACTGAAAGCTCTCAGGTGATGGCGCTAGAGTCAAGAATATTCTTTTTTACATTTTTCGTTACAAATAATATATGAGCTCATATGTTATTATGAAAAACATCAAAACGTCTTTTTTTAATCTGTGGTATATTTAGTGATACTATCACTCTCGATTATGCTGACGTATATAGTGCGCAATAGGCAGTTTTTCTCCGCATTGCATTTCACCTCGATTATATTAGAATTATACAAAGTTGTCTTCTCTTGTTGATAACTTCAGGGTTGAAACTAATAGCGAATGTAACGTACGGCTACACCGCGGCTAACTTCAGCGGGCGCATGCCGTGTGTGGAGGTAGGCGACAGCGTCGTTGCCAAGGGACGGGAAACATTGGAACGAGCTATCAAACTCGTCAACAATACTGATAAATGGAATGCAAAGGTTTAACTTTCACTAATACTTAAGATCTTATAGTTTTATTTTAGTAATCTACATTTATTTAATTACAATTAATAGTATAATCCAACCAAATATTTGTCTAATGTGTAGTGAAATTGCAATTAAAGCTGTCAAATTTAAATGTCAAATTGCAATGAGTGTCAACCAATCAGGTTGTTGTATTATCGACAGTGGCGCCGCCACTCCATTTGTAACTTTTTCAGAGATAAAAAATGTTTTTATTAAAAAAAAATAAGCAGAACATAGATAAATTGTTAATTAAATTGATACTACATAAGCAGAATTTAAATTACAGGTGATATACGGCGATACGGATTCAATGTTTGTATTAATTCCGGGAGCGAGCAGACGGCGCGCCTTTGAGATTGGACAAGAGATCGCTGACGCAGTCACCGCTGACAATCCATCACCTGTCGTATTAAAACTAGAAAAGGTTTACCAACTGCTTATGTTATAAATTGCTAAACATTTTTATCAATTACAGAATAAGGCCTATTTTTAAATATTTTCAATTACCGCAACTTAATTTAAAATAATTTTGCTAGGTGTACCAGCCATGTATATTACAAACAAAGAAACGTTACGTGGGCTACATGTACGAGAGTCCGGATCAAGAGAAGCCAGTCTATGAAGCAAAGGGCATTGAGACCGTGCGCAGGGATGGCTGCCCCGCTGGAGTTAAGGTAAATTTTGCAACACCACCGACTCGGAAGAACCACAATTTTTAGATTGGCAATATTTGATGTTAAGTGACTACCACTGTTAATATAGAATCACAAGTAAATTGCAGTTTTCTGTTACTTATAAATCTAAATATAAAATGTATAAATTGGCATAAGAGGAGATAGATCATCTTTTACTATATGGAATGTATCTATGAAAGCATTGAGCATTGCCCACTGCTGGACTTAGGTGATCCACCTAAGTGCAGCAGTGGGCAAAGTTTAATGATGAAAATTCCAGCTACTCCAGCGGTCCCTGTGCGAGTTGTTCGAGACGGGCGACATGTCGCGTGTGAAGCGCGTGGTGTGCGCGACGCTGGCGCGCCTCGCCGACGGTACACTGCCGCCACACGAGCTGTTTTTCACGCGCGAGTACCACGGACCTGCGGGGTACAAGTCCGGAGCGGCCGTGCCTCCTAATGAAATTGCCAAGTATGGTCATCATTTCAACTCTTATTAATTCACAATTGGACGTAATCTTAATTAAAAATCGTTGTAGAAAATGTCTACCATATTTGGTTATATACAATTGTAAATGAACTGTTATCTTTGTATGCTAGGCGACTGATGTGCCGCGATCCGAGAAGCGTGCCTCGTGCAGGGTGGCGCGTGTCGTGGCTGGTGTGCGCGGGAGCCCCGGGCACCGCGCTGTCGCGGCTGGCGCGCTCGCCCCGCGACCTGCTGCGCCAGCCCGCCGCGCCACACATCGCCTACTACGCCACGCGAGTCCTGCTGCCCCCGCTGCACCGCTGCCTTTCATTGCTAGGAGTGCACGTCTTCAATTGGTCAGTTATACTCTTACGAACTAATGCCCGCACTTCTAGTGACTCATTTTAAATTTTAAGTAATCCGGCTAGAAGGACCTGTAATTTACCAAAATAATTTAAAGTGAAGAATGATACATAATGTCATCAGAGTCGTCGGTTTTCGTTAATTTGATTATATTTGTGTCCAGGTGGAAGGAAGTGGGTCAAGGACGAGAGATCCAGCTAGAGAGAGCGGCAGCTAGCCGTGGTGGGGGTATCGCGCGGTACATGGAACGCGGGCGGTGCGCGGTGTGCGGCGCGCGGGGTGCCCGCTCTCTGTGCGGCGCATGCGCACGGCCCCGAGCCCTTCTCCCGCTCGCTACCAGACTTGCGCGCGCGCACACACATTTACAACATTGTTATGACGTGAGTGTGACGATTGAACTAATTGTTTACCGAAAATGTCAGAAATCTTGTGAAAGAATACATACATTTCTGGGAAAATTCAGGTTAATTCATTAAAACTAAATTCATAAAAATTAAAATATACCAAATGATTGCAGATTTGTAGTACTTGCACGAGCCACTCTGAGTATAGGCAATGCGAGAACACCGAGTGTCCGGTGTTATGGCGCAGAATCACCGCGCAACAGAAACTAGATGAAATACGAGACGTCTTCAACAATCTACCTCCTCACCTGACCTTGCATGATATACATTTCTAATTTATAATGATGGTTATTGTGAAATATAAGAAAAATTATGTAATTTTATATTTATTAGTAAAATGCACAATTTATTGTTTTAATATGTGTTGCAATAATTTCTATGCTACGGATACATTGTCGCGCGAAGATTCATGTTGTTAGAAAAACTATCGATTGTTTCGAAGGTTTAGATGAAGAAAAAAGACTATTTTTGAACAATTTTTACTAGTTAGAACTTATTTTGGTCTTATAACAAACAGTTAAGGAACAGTAAGTATATTCTAATAGAAAAAATGTCATTCATTCATTCATAGAGTTCTTCACTTGTTTATGTCATTACGATTTGTGACCCTTTTGTTGGTAGTTTATTAGATGAAATATATTTTTCATGATGTGGTGGTGAATGGGATTGCACATGAATTAGGAGATGGCAGATTACAGAATTCAGTTGATTGTTTACAATTACATTATCCATCATGGCTGCTCGGAAGAGCAAATCATAGATGTAATTCATTACAACTTCTTTGGCATTGTGATCTTTTAGTTTTCATATTTTATTTGCAATTAATTTACTGAACATGTCATATTCATTATTTAAAGTTTTGATGTGCTTAAAATCTTCTTTCATTTGTTTTTTAGCTTCTATAATTTCTGGAGGTATGTTTCTGTCTGGAGGACTGTCTCTTATTGGTTTTTTCTCAAGAATTATTTATGACTTTTCTTCTATTGAAATATGCTCAGTATGAATTACTTTCTTTGTCTCTCTTTCTGTACAGTCAGCGTCATATAGATCGTCACAGACATGATATGCAAATATATAGGTACACCAAAAGTAATCAATTATATCGGTACAACAAAAGTCCTCAAAATAATAGATACATTCACCCTGCTCAAATACATCGGTACATACACAGCGTCAAATATATGAGTACATGCAAGATGCTCATAAATATCGTAGCAGCCACAGCGTCATAAGTAACGAAGCAGTCAAGGTGCGCAAAAATATCGGTACATTTGACAAAATTGAACTCTATCTCTATATACTTGTGATACAATTTGGAAAAAAACTACTTCTGTTACATTCATTTGACACTTTGTATTAACATTATAGGTTGTCCGGAAAGTTCGTTCTGATTTTCGATATAAAGCTTACAATAGACTGTAGCTGAAGTGGATTCATTTTCGGATTTCCACCATTATCAAACGTCACAAAAATTTCTATATTGTGAATAATTTCATTTCATTGGTTGAGATAAAAACTAATTTTTAAAATTTTATCCAATAATAAAAGACGTTTTAGGTATAGAGTCGTACCAATATAATTTAAAAACATTTCCAAAAATTTAAGAGAACAGGGTTTCAATTTTCCTTATAAAGCGGCACGAACTTACTGGGCAACCCAATATTTTTCTTCTCCTGTCATAACGCTTAAATATAAAAGTTTGTCACGCCGAATATGACAGATAGGTATTAACTAATGTCAAATTTTGCCTTGTCACAATATTTATAATACTAGATTGGCGCAGTATTCTAGTATGTTTGCCGTGATATGTAAGTTTACCGGTTCGAATCTCAGGCTACTTTTTTTTCATTTTTCAATCACGGGGTTATTTTTTCATAACCAATAAAAATTTGGTAATGTAAAATTTTGCTCGACAATTTTTTTTTATAATTTTCGCTGTCGGGTAGAAAGAAATTTAAATAAAGTTAACAACAATTAGGTCAGACCATCGCGGGTGAAGTGAGTGGGCGGAGCGTGGATTGTCTTTGCGGGTTTTAAGAATGGTACGCGCGGAAACTATACGTACAAGTGTTATCTACATATGTGTGCGCGCCCACGCACACTGAAATGTTTATTGCAATCGACCAAAAATTTGATGTAGTTTGGATATTGACATTCAGTTTTTTTTCTTTGTTTCTTAAATATAATCAGTATCAGTAAAAGGTAAAAGTAAAAGTGTTATTTTTACCGGTACAAGTTTAACAAACATGAGTAATAAACAAATTGCATGCCAATAGCATCGCTTTATCTCCTTCATTTTTGTTTGAAATAGAAAAGTACTTTAACGATCAAACTCATTAGTCCAAGGCAATATCAAAAAGTACCTAATAACTACGGCGATAGAATTTAGTTACATGTGCTTCGATATTAAAATTAAAAAGTTTAAATATCAAAAAAAAAATAGTGGCTTGGGATTTGAACCGCCGACCTTACGTACCAACGGCGGCGAACGGTAAGGCCACGAGACCAAACTAGCATATATGATGACAAACTTAAATTTGATGTTGGTTTTATCTACCTAATATCTGTCATGCGCGTCGAACACTTTTAGTAAATTTTGAAAAATGGTTTGATGCAAAGTGTCAAATGAATGTAACAGAAGTAGTTTATTCCAAATTGTATCACAAGTATATAGAGATAGAGTTCAATTTTGTCAAATGTACCGATATTTTTGCGCACCTTGACTGCTTCGTTACTTATGACGCTGTGGCTGCTACGATATTTATGAGCATCTTGCATGTACTCATATATTTGACGCTGTGTATGTACCGATGTATTTGAGCAGGGTGAATGTATCTATTATTTTGAGGACTTTTGTTGTACCGATATAATTGAATACTTTTGGTGTACCTATATATTTGCATATCTTGTCTGTGACGATCTATATGACGCTGACTGTACTATCCTGAAAAATAGCAGATGCAGCTCATTCACTAAAGACGGTTGGATAAATTAAATGATTTCCATGATGTTTTGTAGCATTTCTCAACTATGATGAATGAAAAACATGTTACCAACATGTATTACAGAAGAATATTTTAATTTATTATTATTCAGAATATTTCAGAAACTTGCAAATAATACTCTTAATTCTTATTCAAACCGCCGTATAACATACTAGATGTGGCCTGCGACTACGTCCGTGCGAGATGAAAAAAAAACTAAGTGTAGTAGCTTATAAGTTCTTTTAGGCTATGATCTACATGTATGCCAAATTTCAGCAAAATCCATGTGGCCGTTCAGGACACAGCTAATAATCATCTATCCAAACATTCGCATTTATTATATTATGGTAAGAAGTAAAACCTTGCCAACCGCTGTGTGATAAGTACAGTAAACTTTATTATAGTTCTTCAAGAAGATTTTGTGGTAGCCTGAAAATACAAAAAAACGAATGTCATTTTATCAGCTTCATAATTTGACTCAAAGAGTATAATAAGTATACTATAAGTCAAAGCCAGCCCAGTAAGCCAGTCGCGCTGAATTCGAGCTGGCCTAATGCCCCGTTACCATTTAAAAAAAAGCTATACTTCTACAGAATGGTATCTAAAAATCGTTTTTAAAGGTTATTTTATTTAAATGTATTTTTTCATATTAGACATGCACTGCGTTTTAATGCTTACACCTAAGAGTATATAAAATATTACATATTAATTCATACTTGTCTTCACATGTCGATTTATTTTACGCCTAAAAGTATACTTTGGTATACTTACTCTTTGAAAGTTACTTATACCCTTTGGTTGGCGTAGCTCTTTGCTGCGTATAGGTACATGTTGCGCAGGTGCGTATGCGCAAGTTGAACGGTTTTAAGATTTACTTAAAAAATACATATTACATATTTTATCGCAAAATTTTTAACAGTTTCATGGTAAACAATAATATTATAATACCTGAGTAAAAAGGTTTTAGATCTTTCTTATCTATCACTCTTAATATTTGTCAATGTTTACATTTTGAGTCAGGGTCAAAACAAGGAAAATATTACTTTTAAAATGCTTGCAAACATGGAACTGCGCAAATTGCCAGCGGGAACTCTTTATGACGTTATTAACACTTTGGAAACAAATAGCGATTGGAAAAATGTTATGTCGATTATACCGAAGAATCTTGGTAGCTCTGATTCTGAAAGAAAATATACCGATAAAGACATAAGGTATGTTTACGTTTACAATTTTTAAACACAATATTATGTCTAAAGTTTAAAGTTTCCTTTTGAAGAGGTATAGAGCAGAATCTATATTTTAATAAATACTTAGAGTTACAGTAGTCTTTGTGTTTATTATAAACTAGCAGTAACCTGCGACTTCGTACGCGCAGAATTAAAAAGAAAATCAAGTAATAAATATAGCCCGTGTCACTAGAAAAATTTTAAGAATTTTCCAAATTGATTCGGTAGGTTCGGGACCTACTCAATTCAAACAAACATACAATTAAATCTTTTTCCTTTATCTTTTCGTCCTCTCGAAGTGATATCAATCGAATATGTTCAGTAGTTGATACTGCAAGTTAACTCCTTATTAAAGAGTAGTAAAATCTGTACACACAATATGTCGGTAACCTTATAAAAGAAGTTAAATACAACTTAATGTCAAATTTTTATATTAAGTTTTTTAAACATATACTTATTTTATGATTCAAAATAAAATTCCAAATTTTGTTTTAGACTTATTGAAAATTATTCAAAAATAAGTAACAGACAATGTGCAGAAATATTAATTGATGAGTGGGGAACCTCAGGGAAAATAAGACCAACATTGTCAACACTAAAAGATATTGTACAGAAGGCAAATATATTGAAAGCTGCAGACCAAATTGCAGCTCTTCTACATGGTAAAGTAAAACATTGAATCACAATATATTAAAAGAATATGGTAAATGCAATGTCTGTTTTGAGGATTATATTGCTACTTTTAATGAAATCAACAATAGAACATTTTACAATTATCCAGGACTTAGATTATTAATTTTATTTCCAGAGAACCGAGCGCCTCGACCAAATGATGGTCCTGGTGCAGACATTGATACAGATGTCTCTATTATATTAGAAAATGAACAGATAAATGAAAGATTTAATTCCTATGATCCAACCAAGAGAATTCAAAATGATACATCTAAAGACAAAAATTTAGGCAACATTAGTACTGTGCCTATGAAAACTGAAAATGGAGATATCAGCTATAATATTCCAGCAATAGATATTTTGAGAACAGTAAATTTCAAAAGTAAATCAACAGAAGTTGCACAATCATCAAGAAATATACCTAATTTAGAACTTATGTTTCCTAAGTCGGAACAGTTCAGAGGCGATACGTCATATAGTGATGCTACTACTAATAGTGAAAGTGAAAAGAGAACTTCTCAGGACTCTCCCAATCAACCTAAGAGTGAAAATATCTCCTTCCAAAAATCATTACCTAATATACCAGACTTGCATAGTCATATTGACAAAGAAATATTAGAAGCTACTAATTTGATTAATTTTCAGTACAGCGAATTGGAAAATATAACATCAAAGTTTTCAGACACCATAGTTGATGGTCCATTTGGTCCCAGTGGTAAAATAGGCAGTGGTGGTTTTGGAGAAGTGTTCTTAGGCTATCATCCGGAATACAGAATACCTCTTGCTGTTAAAAAGATCCATACCCATTTACTATGGCCCGCACATAAACCAAATATTGTGATAGATATGTTCAACACTGAAGTTAAAAACTTGATTCAATTTAGACATAAAAATATTGTTCCGATACTAGGATTCTCAATGAATGGACCAGTTCCATGTATCATTTGTGAATATGTTGATGGAGGTTCTTTAGAGGAGCAATTGGATACTAATTGTTCCTCTAAACCTAAATTGGTACTGACAGAAAGACAAAGGATTAATATAATGATGGGCACTGCAGAGGGTTTAAAATATTTACACACAAGTGAACATGTTATTCCAAATACCAGTGCAACAGGTGACTCCAATCCACAAAATGTAAAGAAAAATAATTTTGTTCACCGTGATGTGAAGAGCGCTAATATTTTGCTCACAAAGGATTGTGTGCCTAAGGTAAACAAATTACTATTGTTAATATGAAAACATTTAATTAATAACTTAATATCAGTATTTTTTAACTGACTGCAAAAAGAAGGAGGTTCTCAATTTGTCTGTATGCTTTTTTTGTTTGGCATTATATAGATGCTTCATGTTATGAAATGTGCTTGTTATTATCATAAATGTTTTCCTTATTCTAGATCTGTGACTTTGGGCTTGTTAAACAATATGAATCAACATTTGTTACAACATCGCCAATGGGCACTTCTGCTTACATGGCTCCCGAAGGATTCTATGGAACTATAACACAGAAAATAGATATTTACAGTTATGGAGTTGTCCTTTTAGAACTACTTACTGGTTTAAAACCAATTGTAAGCAACAGTAATAACGATAGAATACACATTAAAGATTTTGTTAAAGAAAGTATCAAAGAACAGGGTGATATTAGTAGCATTTTGGATCCAAAGGTTGAAAATTGGACAAAAGGTAAAGAAATATATGAACTATCTACATGTTGCCTACAACAAGAAAGGTTCAATAGGCCATCAATAGAGGAAATTTGTGACACTTTGTCTGATATGGCCAAAGAAAATTAGTTCTTACCTAGGATAAAACGGTGAGTTTTGATGTCAAACATCTCTTTGTATTGTTATAGAAAACCAATTAATTGTTATTATGAATTTATTTATCTACAATCACACTTTATATAAATGGGTTCTTTATCAAATATGTACATATTTGTGAATTAAAACGAGCTTGTCTTGGTAAATAAAATAAATGTTTTATTTCTTGTAATAATTATACTGTTATATATTTGTTTATTGAAATTGAATGATTTGCAAAACAGGACTGTTATTTTATGATAACACTAAGCATTTGTTACTGGAGAGTTATATTTTCTTACATAACATTCTTCTTCTTAAAAATAAAGAATCTTTTATTTTACATCACATTTTATTGCATTTATCCTGTTTATAAAATCATTTTTAATAGTGCAATCAACAATTTCCAAATTATTTATAATGCTCTTTTTCTCTGCATCATCACACAATTTTATTAATGTCACAATTATATTATGCATCTCTGGTACTAACTGTTCATCTTTACAACAATATAATACTTTAAAAAGATTGGAAAGAATTTTATGTCCCACAGAAAATTTCCATACACACCAACAATATTTTATCCATTCTTTTAAAGTCTGAAACAATATAACATCAAGTTAGATTGATAAAAAAATGAAATAAAAAAAAACAAATTCGGAAAAAATTCTCACATTTCCTACACCCATATCTATGTCATGTAATTTAATTGCATTATGATCCGCTATTTTCGTAGATAAAAATAAGAATTTAGAGTTAAGATATAAAAACTACTATGGCCTCATCACCCTTAACTTAGGGTAGGCTCTGAGCCCCTAGGTGGGGATGTATAGTAAGCTGATGATGATATAAAATCCAAGACACAACTTTATACTATTTGTTATTAGAAATATTATAAAAATCAATACCTCTAACACGGTTTCCAGCAATACTTCACTTACAGCTTCATTACAGCACAAATCTAAGTTATCGGAAATTATGGCAAAAAATATTATTCTACTGCAACAGTGTATTTTGTGAATTGATATTATAGTCTTTGTAAACTTTAGACATTCAGCTTTTCTGTACAAATTAGATTCAATAATAAGTTGGTCCAGGACTGCGTTGTACATTTCATCTAGTTTTTGTTTCTGAAAAATAACATAACTTTTTTTTGTAATCAACAGAAATAAAGTATTTTTTTAACTTTAATTAAAAAAAAATAAACATTTATTACATTATTACAATATATTTTAAAAACAAATATTAATTTACTTGGTGTAGGATAATATTACCACCCTTAACTTACGGTACTCTCCGAGACCCTCGGTGGGGACGTATAGTGAGCTGATGATGATGAGGATAATATTGAAAGTAAATAAAGGGTCTTTCAACAAGGATGGGTCGATGTTAATAATGTGTGGCGGCCATTATGTTTTGGCGGCATCTGTCAAATCTGTTTCTGTTTCCAAATCATCATGGCAAGTTACGGTTGAGCAGCATGTGCAAATGATAAAACTTTATTATCAAAATAAGTGTTCGTTTGCGCAAACGTTGCGCGCATTGCGCACATTTTACGGTAGACGCGGTGGCCCTTCAATGTCTACTCTCCAACGATTGGTGACCAAATTTGAGACGACCGGTTCGGTAAACAACCAACCAACAGCTTTACGTCAAAGGAACGCCAGATTGGGCGAGAACATCGCCGCTGTATGTAGGAGTGTTCAGGAGACTCCGAGGCAGTCGATTTCTCGCCGTGCACTAGAACTCGGCCTTTCGCAGACTTCAACTTGGAGAATTTTGCGTCAGGACTTGGGCCTGCATCCGTACAAGATCTAACTGACCCAAGAGCTCAAAGTTAATGATTATAGACAACGCCGTGTGTTCGCTGAATGGGCTTCGGAACGCTTGAAGGTGGACCCCGATTTTGGTCGAAAAATAATCTTTAGCGACGAGGCCCATTGTTGGATGAATGGTTTTGTTAATACGCAAAATTGCCGGATATAGGATGACCACAACCCACATGAGGTTCACCAGGTGACAATGTATCAAAAAAAGGTAACCGTTTGGTGCGGATTTTGGTCTAGCGGCGTCATTGGTCTGTACTTCTTTGAAAACGTTGGCGACGCCATCACCGTCAACGGCGAGCGCTACAGATCAAACAATTTCTTTTGGCTTGAATTGAACAATATGGATATGAACGACATGCGGTTCCAGCACGATGGTGGTACTTGCCACACTGCGAACGACACTCTGCATGAACAGTTTGAGGGTAGGGTTATCTCTTGCAGAGGTGACATGAATTGGCCACCAAGATAGTGTGATTTGACTCTGCTAGACTTTTTCTTGTGTGGTTTTCTGAAGTCGCAGGTCTATAACAATAAGCCACAATAGACCGTTGCCCAGAAAGCCAACATAATGCAGGCCATCGCTCAGATTCATCCGGATCTATGCAGCAGAGTAATTAAAAATTGGACCTCTCTGATTTGTGCCACCATACAAAGCCATGGTGGACATTGAATGATGTCATATTCCATCCATAATGGCATAAATGGGCCTTTCAAATAAAAATAAATATTGTTAATATCTCACACACATCTTGTTTTATTCAATTTTAACATCTACCTGTCCTTGTTCAAAGACCCTTTATAAGTATATACTTTTATAATGAAACATACCTTACTATCAGCTGGTAGAATATTATACAATGCTAATAAACATTCAAAAACCAATTTTGTTGCTTCATTGTCTTTTTCTGTTATAAGTTTCCTGAGACTTATATATACTACTTCAAAGTAATTTCCCTGCTCAAATGCATCATTATTCTGTAAAAAATGTACACATTATATTATTATTCTGTAAACAATATACACATAGGTTAAAAGGTTTTTATAGATAAATTAAACGACAATGTTTTTACATTGTCTTTTAATCCAAATGTTTGAGTTCTATGAGTCTACTTTAAATTATTATTCCTATAATTAAAAATGTGTTAACAGTGTCCATTCTATAACTGATCAATTTTAACATCTATGGGTTGATTAAGGTGGAGGATAATAGATTGTTAAAAATAAAATCTTACCAAGCACTGCAATATGGAAAGACAAGACTTCAATCCGTTCAACTTATTCTCTATTATATAGTCATCTATTAGATTAAGAGATGTTGGTAGTATTTTTGAGGGAACTATAGTCACATTGTATCTCTGAAAGTTAACACCAGAAATTAATATCTAAGATATATGAGCTGTTACAAAGACATAATATTGTTATTGGCTTACTTTAATATTTTTGATCAGTCTAAGATATACATCAATTTGAGTTGGATACTTTTTGAATTCAGCCGGAGACAATTTCTTGTGTAAATTTTCGAAACATTTGTCAAAAATTTCTTGATGGTTAAATACAGCATTTTGAAATATTACATTAGAAAGATTTATTTCATAGAATGTTTGAAAATAGGAATTTAATTTTTCAGAGCACTTCAAACAATTTGCTTCGTCCCATGTGTTTTTACTTGATAGCTCAAAATACAATATCAATAGTTGTGATATAACTGATTCGGGATTATTACAGTTCCTGAAATTAATAGCCTCCAGTTGTTTTTGGAGTAGGTAAAAGTTTTTATCTAAGTTTTTATTGCGTATTCCAAATTCTGAATGATTTTTGCATTCATCATAGTTCTTGTTAAGTTTTGGTACAAGACACAATTCAATGATTTGCTCTATTTTTCTTAAAGTATTCATTATTGTTGTGCATTAAATCTTCTTGTAATGACAAATAAATGACAATTGACGTGCACTACAGCAAAGATATAATCATATTATGAAGATAACATAACACGTGTTCCAACTGTTTCACGATATAAAAAACACAACCTTATGAAGAAGTACATTTCGTATACTTTAAAGCAGGGTTGAATTAGAGCCTAGTATTTCAAATTAAGGCTGGACTTGTGAAAAAAGTATTTTGAAATGCATTTAAATTAGAAATTGACGGCAACTTTGACAACTGACAAAGCAGATGAAAATATGTCAACGTCAAATTACGTAATGAAATAAAGTATTTAATAATTATTTTAGGTTAACAGTCTCATAAAGCAACAAAATGATAAAGTAAATACAAAACATTAGTTTTTTTCAGTGTTAAATACACCAATGATTAAATCTTGTGATTTACATTCACAGGTTCGGTATTAAGTCGGCTGTATTAGGTTCAGCAGTGTATTACACTGTGGACAAAGGTGTTTGGAAGGATAGTGAAACAACGCGAGAACTTTATGAAGAATTAGAGAAAGGAATGTCCCCATATGTTGGTGAATTCAAAAAACAAATACCATTTGAGGTAACGAAATGACAATATTACTTTTTACTTGTTTTTTTCTAAAAGAGTTTCTAAATTGTTTTAACAATCACCTTTAGATTCTATTTACATGAAATTGAAATTGTTTTTTAATATGAATAGTATTCGCAAAAAATTTTTACCTGATCTGTTTTCAGTTGCCTCCACTCCCATCAAATGATAGAGTATCCTATTTATTCAAATACTACTGGAACTGTGGTGTGAAATCGACATTTCAATTCCTAATTAACCTTCCTACTCACACCACAAATGCAATAACATTAGCATATGATAAAATATCATCAGCAACCTCCACTGAACCTGTAAGCAGCCAAGACGGTACAAAATAGATGATAGGAATATGACTATGTTTAACTAGATTATTATTTAACTTGTTTAGTATTTCATGCTATTAAAGTTAATAAGTTTCTGTTAGTTGTCGACTGTTGTTAATATCTTAAAGAGCATTAAACAAGATAAATACTTTTTTCTTTTAGTCCTAATATCCCTTCAAAGAATTTTGTCAAGAACCCTGTTATAGTAAGATTCTTCAACTTCATCTACGCAGTATAAAAAAGATAATAATAAATATGACCATGTCAAACTGGGATAGCGTAGTCTCTTACAGTGTAAGTATTTTTCAAATCCGTTCAGTAGTTTGGGAATCTATTCAATGCAAACAATATTATTAAGATACACACTGACTAGTATTTATAACTATAGAGTGAAAATTCTATATCCATTTCTTTCTACAAAGGAGTATTCTATAGTTTCATTCAGTCCAATAACAATTAGAGGTTAAAAAAATGTGTAATGGTAGCAAATTAGTACAAAAATAAAAGTTAAGATAGAAAACAGTCCACAAAAGTGGCAGTTAGATTTATTAATTTTTTACAAATTTAGTATTTGACAAGTTTATTACTTAAAAATTTAAAGAGCATTTCTAATTTCCAAAAATTTACAATTACTAATGTTTCACAATTTCACTAACACACTTTGGAATTACATGTTTTAGACTTGGAGATATGTTATTTAATTATTCTTTTTTATTATTGCTACCAAATATCCGTCCCCGTGAACATAGATATTTTTAATGCATTTCAAATGTCCTCAACATTAACACAGCGTTTATTTAATTATGTTCAGTGTCAATAAGAAAGTATTACATTGAATATAACAATAGATTATTGTATAATATAAACATCTCCTAAGCCTTTAACAATGTTTAGTAACACCTAATATCTCTGTAAAGACCTTAATATATATGAAAATGTAATATTCAGATAAATTATTGAAAAATTCAGTACCAAATGTACTTTTAATGAATGTGTACTTAAGGAAAATTTTGTGCACTTTCCATTACTTCTAACACGACATATAATATGAAGAGATAAAACAAATATGGATTATAAAAGAAATATTTGATTGTAGTATGTAAAAAATATTATTTTATTAATTCAAATTTTACAAATACTTTTATTTGTGACCGTAAGAAAAAAATGTAAATGAGAGTGATTTTACGATAACAGAAAACTAAGGGAGTTGAAAATAAAATATCCTCATATAATTAATTTATTTCCAATGTTAATTTTATTGTACTGGATGTTTTGCATGACGTCAGTGAAAAAAATTGTATAAATTTTCAGCGATATAGTCCTCCTTGTGAGGGTGATCAGATATGCTATGCAGCAGTTTCAACCTCCATGGCTTCTTCTGTGCCAGTTTTCTTTTTCTTCTTCTTGTTGGATTTCGCAGAGGAGTTCAGAAGGGACTGGCAAAACAAAAAATGTTAGTTAACAACTGGAAAAATATTATTTTAAAATAATACTGCTGTAACAATTCCAAATTATGAATGTAGTAATTCTTCAAACTGAAGTGTTAAGAAAAACAAATCAGCTCAAAAAAATCACATTTGTTCTACCCTGTGCTTGTTCAAAATTGATTATGTGGAAATCTATTTTGAAAGATATCAGGGTGTGCTATTGAAACATATTCTTGAAAGATGTATTAGACATCTCCAAAATACACTAATCAATTTTTCTTAGAAAGTATATTTACATTAAGCTCGGGATCCTTGATGGTGCGGTCAGTCTTGCACTGGCTCTTGTCGAAGGGCAATCCGGTAATTCTGTGCGTACCACTGGGTAACAGTAGCGCGGTGAACTTGAACTGCGCTACTAATTCTCCTGGCCGTTCATATAAAACCTACAATATTAAACATAACATTTAAAACCTTAAAAACTATGTGTAAAATAAAACTTTTAGACAAAAAGCAATCAAGAATTGTTTCCCAAAACATTTGGACCTATATTCTGCAAAGAATGGACAGCTAATGACAACATACAAATGAATTCTTTGGTTAGTAACATACCTGGAATGGTTCAATAAGCTTGTGGTTGACACACTCAACCACACCGAGGCGAGCACTTGTCTCCTTGTCAAAGCTGCGTAAATTGAATGGCATTGAGCCATGCTTGTTGCGTACCTTGTAAAAAAAGGTAAAAATATAAATAACTCTTTCAAATTTACACAAATAGTATTTTTGTAATAATCTATGCATTTATTTTATTGTTTGTTAAATAAATTAAATTGTCCTTTAGAACTTTTGTGGTAATGACTTATTCCATTGCACTACTAAAGGGTTTCTCAATGGATCAAACACATTACATTTATGTACCCTGAAATATTAATAGCAATACAGCATCCAAGTGTATTACTTAAAAAGAAATCAGGGATGAAATCTCTGCCATAATATTTAGAAAAAAAAATATTTGAAAAAAGTGATGTGATTGTTATATACCTCACTATAGAACATTCTTGATGCTTTCAATTTAAGTTGATAAATTTCATCCGTTTTCTTATATATTGTACATCTTGTATCCATTTCACGACCCTAAAAGTAATAAAAAATAATTTTAAAACATATTAAACACAATTTAAATATAAACAAAGTTTAAAATTGTATGTAGAAGTATATTAAGATCTGAAATGTATGATAAACATTTCATAAGAGTTAATACTGCTTTACTTTTCCCTGAGTACTGCCAGATGTGTTATTGTAAACTAAACCTGGAAAGAATTCAGGGCCTATTAATAGAAACTTTTGCTATAGTTATATGTGGAAATGTTTAATTTTTACTTCGCACACAAACTAAAATTCAGTCATTTATTTAAAAAAAACAAAGAGAAAACCAACACCTTAACATGCGATGGCAAAATTTATGAATTAGCAAACAAAGGAAATATTAGAATGTTTAATTACTTACAACACCCTCTCCTGTAGAAACAAGCACATCCATTCCATACACTTCATAGGTTTCCAACGTAGCTTTCTCATGTTCTTTACGCTGAGCTTCCGAAGGATTCTGAATTATACTCTTTTCACCATCAATGCGGAATTGTTTTAATTGGTGCGAAAGCATCCCTTCAACAGGTTTACAACCATATTCCGCACTAATCTTTTGTACTACATCTGTTATTGCTTGATTCTGAAAAAAAAAACAACTTTAGGCTTTATATCATAAAATTCATGTCTTAGAAGACTTAGGTTGAGAAAAAAATAAATATTTGATGTAGTAAAGTTCTTTTGTTAAAAATAATTACATTTTTGACAATAAGATTTTACATTATTTTATCCTGAGCTTGTACCAAAATTAACTATATTAGATAATATGGAAAGATTCAGGAAGTTATAACATTTTCCTACGCAAATCATATCTAATCATTCTTAGTGAGGAAGAAGCATAAGATAGAAGTTGCTTCCTGTTATAAAATGTTATGGTTACTAAGACCAATCTTTTCAATATATCATGATTTTAAAAGTAAAAAATAATATGGAGAAAAATCTACAACTTATATAAATAAGTATATGTATATATATACCTCATTGCCTGGTCTCAATAATCTCAAGGCGGCTTCGCTGGCAAGATATGCAGCAAGGAGAACATCTGCTGCACGCCCTGTGACCTCCCCACCACCAACCACCACAGTGTGGGCAACTACCGCGATAAAGCCATCTATATGAGCACCAAGATCTCTGAATAAAAAAATATTACTAGTTTCAAATACAATTATGGACATAGTAAGTGTGCTGAGAAGTACAGCCTCAAATAGTGTGATTAATTACAATGATTTTTTTTAGTTTTTATTAAGTAAACATATAATAGTATTAAGTCAAAGTTGTGTCAAGTAGAAAAGATAACAGGAAATAGTTAACTTAAGTTCTAAAACTATTTGTAATCCATTTTATTGAACTACAACTAACTTTTGTGTTATACTCACATCTTCGCAAGATCGCCTTGTTTTAGAAAGTAATCAGTTTCGCTTGGAATCGGTGAAAAGTGACATATACAATTGTTAACAGACACACATGTCGAGAATGCAATGCCCTTCTTAGAATCTTTCTCTTTTTTGAATACCTTAGATGTTTCTTCTAATATTAACTTGTCGCCAAATTCACATATTTCTCTTGCAGACGCCTCGGGCACACATTTTGCAATTACTTGTTCTAAAACGCCTGGAACGAAGAATAATGAATTACCACCTTTTCAGTGAATCGAACTAGAAAAGTTTTAAAGTTTCAAGAATTGGCTTTAGAGACAGCACGTTGTCCGCATGGCGATGACACGCGTCCATGAGTCGAGTACATGGAGAAATCATTTATTGATGAACCGGTTAATTTTTGACAATTATAGATACATCGCAGTACTTACGGTTAACAATTTGACCCGCTAATTTGTACTTGGTAACAACCAAGTCTTCTGCAATCGTTTTTTCGACTTCTTTGTCGTCAGCCATTTCTCTAAACTGTAGTTTGGTTAGTCGGGTGCTTGTTTCTGGTTGGCCGATTTGTTGGATGTAGGTCACGTGACAATGACGTCATTTCAAAAAAGTCAAGAACTCTGAATGCGTTCGAAACATAGTGTAGTAGCTATTAGTAATTTTTTTTACATTCTATTGATTGTAATTTTTTTATTTGACTATCAACAAATAAAATATAAACATTTTCCAATTTGTAAGAGAAATTATTATTTTTTAACTACGGTTTTGTAAAGATATTTGTGTTTTTATTTCTTAAAAACAGGTTTGCGTCACATTCTTTTGTCAATTTTTGAACAGTTTTGATTATGACATTTGACATTTTGATTTTTGGTTTCAAATCAAGTAAATAAGTCAAGACAAAATACTAAATAATAGATAAAATTAACGAAACTTTAGTAAGGTTGTTTAAATAGTTTTTAATTCGACCTGAACGTATAGTTTAACAGCAATAAAATTAATCAGTAATAAGTTACACAACGGAAATTTTTATTGCACAATTTTTACCGGTGTTTAAGTTGTTACATTCATTAAAATAAAATGAAATCCTCTTAAATGTAATAAGGAATTTTGTGTGAACAAGTGTGACATGCGAATAATCCAAAAATTATTATAGTAATAATAGAAACTTATAAAAAGTAACATGGCTCCTTCAGCTGAGGACTTAAGGAAAATGTTGGATGAAAAAATAAAGTTCGGCTTGGAACTTATTACAAAAATTAATGTTATAGAAGAATTGGACGGCAATTTGAAATTACAAAGGAAAATACGACAAGAGATACATTTTTTGCAAAGAGTAAAGATTTTTAAAGCTAACCTCCAACTTACATTTATCCAAATATATGCCTCGTTTTAATATGAAATCTTTTGTTTCAGTTACAGAAATCAGATAAGATCAAAATAGAACAACTGGCATGTTCAAATCTGAGACATTTAAGTGCTTTGGTTGATTGTGCAACAAGACCGGGTGCTGTCGCTGTGTGTAAAATATTTCATATTAATGATGAAAATAAGTTATTGGTTGATGTTATTAGTGATAATGGAAAAATATGGAACAAAGGTATTTTAGATTGTATAAATGTAAGAATAAGAATAAATTTATTTCACAAAAACATGTTAGAATAATATACAGTGAAGTATATTGCAGACCCCAAACTAGGCTGAGCCTGTATCTCGGGGCCTAGCAATAATATAATAGTATAATTAGTTGTAAATTAGTAGTAGAAAATTAGTATACTGATGCAAATTGCTCTGCTAAGAAGAGCCATAAACAAGAAATTGAATGGAATTAAGACCAAAACTTTGTAAATGAACATTTTCACTGAAAGCACAAGATGGTCTAATACTATGTATACTATATACTCAAAAGGTACTCAATAAGTCAAACTCAGATCTAAGATCTGTCTTTTTAATAATTTCAGCACATTGAGGTTTCATATTATTATTTATAACTTAGTACCATAGTTATTTGTGTTATTTAATGAGAAATGTGCTAGTTTCTTTAGTTATTAAGCTTAAGTCTAGATTTAGAGCAGACTTTAGAACTTAAAATTGTTTCCTATTCTAGTGATAGCTCGGAATCCAAAATCACTATCTGCACTTAGTTCCGGTAATGCTTCATATGGTGCAAGATCAATTGTAGATCAAGCACAAGATTATGTAGAGTGCGCCAAACTCTACCCATGTATGTATCAAGCACCAAAGGTTAGTACAACTACTGAAGAGTTGCAAAACAAAAGATATAAAAAACAAAGAGAACTTTATTTTTTCACTTGTATCTTCATTGCAAATGCATTGGTGTTTTTATTTGTAAGTAAAAGTTGCTCTTTGCTACTTGCTCAATTCTAACTTGATTAATATTCTTGCTATTTTAGGTTGTGTTTGAGTTTGTCAGTGGAATAGAAGAATCATTAGCAAACAAATTAAAATCACTTGGAGTTGTAGTAAAAGGTGAAATTCTACCTGATTCTAAACACAATGAAGATGATTGTGACAATTCATGGGAGTCTGATGAAGAATTACATTTTAAGTAAGTGTTAAAAAAAAACATATTATCAACATAAATCAGTTTAAATCATACTACCCCATTAATACTTATATCAGAAATAATATTAAGGATAAAGCCAACTTTTTAATTTTCATTATTGAATATATAAAGTTGTAGGACAATGCCACATGGATATGTAATCTGTGGGAAATATCCTCTTTAAGGTTATTTCACCATTAATGAAAAAAAAGTTGAAGTGTATTATAAATTCAAACTTTGTGCCACTTTTAAAGTGATCGCGATCTTAAAGTAGGGCGACCTCCATAAAGTTTGAAAGGATTTGTACAATACTAAAATTACAGTTGTTTTACATTTACAGTGAACAAAATTCCGACCAAGAAGTACCACAATGTCTAGAAAGTCAACTAGAAATAAAAACTTTAAATCTAGACGTCAGTGCAATGATGGCATATGTTAGTAATATGACAAATGGCCATTGTAACTATGTGTTCAAACAAGAAGTACTAACACAACAAGCTGCTTGGGAAGCGGAAAGACCTGTGAAGCCAGTACTGGATAGATTATTCCAAGGTATGATAAGGTCATATCTTACTAATATTATAAATGCCAATGTTTAGATGGATGAATGGATGGATGTTTGTTTGAAGGTATCTCTAGAATGGGTGAACCGATCTCAATGAAATTTTACATATAGAACATAGTCTCGAAGAACACTAAAGCTACTAATGTTTTTTTTTAATTCTGAGTGGATGGAGTCTTGGGAGACCGCTGGTATAAAATTATTCAAATTGTGGTATACTACTACTTTATATACTAAAATAAGCACTACTATTTGTAGGAAAGACTTTAGTGTGCTGTAGAACAGCATGGGATGATTTTAATAAGATTATTGATATTTTGGGAGGACCTTTAGAAAAACAAAGGACTGCATTGTTAAAAGAGATGATCAAAGTTTATCCAGATGACAGTGGTGGTAAGAAATATCTTATTACTAATTATAAATGTTTACGAAGAGAGGATTATTCTAAAATTTGGTTGGTATTTATAGGTGCAGATGACTATCCAAGGCAAAATTTGAAAATTAGAGGCCATGTGAGATTGCGTTCCAAAGTCATATTCAATTTTGGTCACAGAATCAAAGCTCTTACTGTGTCAGCAAATGAAGGTTTCGTTAGAGCTGCTTTGCAACAGGTATGTATATTTGTTCAACAGGTGTATATGAACAAATTTTTGGCGATTAAGGTGTCATGAGATTTCATTAATGTTTTTATAGTTTGTCGGTAATTTTAGTGTGGCAACACTCTCACTTCCTTATATACAGTTTTATTTTAAAATTATCCAACGATTGTGTTTGTTACATTTTTTTTTATTTTAGGGTGTTACCTATGCGGTTTTCATTCACGAATCACGAGCCCTTACAGAAGGAAAAGAATCGACTGGTACTAAAATTGACTTATGATTTTTCAAGCGTCTATAACAAATAAAATAATATTTTAGAGGTAATTTAAAGAATTAAAAGGTATAATTCTTTTATTTGTTGCAATATGTGCTTAGTAATGGGAATATTAACTAAATATTTTTGTGTAAATACCACTTGTGATATTGCATTGCATCGTGAGCAATAATTTGTGATATTATTTATTTTGATATAAAAGATATTTATATTTGAGTGTTTCATTTATCCACATTATTAACTTCGCTCTAAAGAGCAAATAATAGTTCTTGTGACTTTAGTATGTTTTATTTTACAGTATTTCACCTCATCCGCCTTACTTTAGTAAAGGCGCATGAGTGAAAAACTAGGAAATTGATATGAGAGGGAACAAAAGGGATTTCATTCTCTTGACTAATTAGATACACAAACGGAGAATAAAAATTGTCATTTTCAATGCTAGCAATATTATGAACAAGTCTACGTTGCTACCAACCTAAAAAAATCAATCTGTCAGTTTCCTTTTTGACGTTTGAAAGTATTATTCGAGGGAAAACAATTTAGGAAAAATAAAAGCATTTCGTTAATTGCAACTTTAATTTTTATTTTAAGAACGAAACATAATGCTAACTGCTTTCGTAATAATACCATTATTGTTTAGTTCACCAACAAAATACCCCAACTTTGATAAATGCTTATTAGTTCCAGTTTGTTTATTTGATAGCTCATATTTTCTGATAGAACTGGAGTAGTAGTGTCACTCTCGTCGGGAGAAATAGAATAACACTGGAAAGAGATTAGCTCCTGTCTGTTGGTAAAATATTTAGAAAATTGCTAAAAAGACAATATGCATTGAAGTAAAACAAATCGTCATCATCAAGCTCACTATACTCCACTGAGGAGCACGGAGCCTACCCTACCCACTAAAACCTGACTGCCCTCTGAAGCATCGGGACGGGACCACGGGCACGCTTTCTTCTTCTTCTTCTTCTTCTTCTTCTTCTTCTTCTTCTTCTTCTTCTTCTTCTTCTTCTTCTTCTTCTTCTTCTTCTTCTTCTTCTTCTTCTTCTTCTTCGCGTTCGCTTTCGCTTTCGCTTTCGCTTTCGCCTTCGCGGCGGCGGCGGCTGGCTGCGGCAATATGCCGTGCCTCGGCTGGTTAAGTGTTGACCCATCGAACGCCGACAGAAAGTGCAAGCACAAAACAAGATGACCCAACTCGATCTGTCTCCACTTCACGACTATATTCGTAACAACTGTCAAAACGTCTTATATAAAGATGGTGCCTCGACCCCTCTCAAGCCAGGTGCTCTGCTCTGATTGGTCGTTACTTAAATTACGATAATAATGTTATCTAGTCTAGGAAAAACGTAACTTAAAAAGTAAGATCAAATTAAAAGTTATTAGAAGCTTTTACAACATCAATAAACATTAAACATTACACACTATGCGTTAAACAGTAATTCAGTTGACAATGGCTACTTTATAACTTCCTACTTTAAATATAATCACAATGGCTTTCTCCGACATGACGGGGTGATGCCAATATAAGAGACCGCACCCTCATTTTCGGGACACACTCGCCACCGAACACTGAAGCCAGCGGAAGCTCTGCCCGTTTGACTAGCCAAAATAATTAATCATTTTAACTCTGATAGTTGATTAAGTTAATCTTGTATTTTTAAATCATTTTAGTGTTAATTACATTTACTCAATTCTGTTAGTTTTCTTATTAATTCAAATAGTACTGTAGTAGTGTATAAGAGATTGATTTTTTTTTAATTTTCCCTGCTTCATATCCTTAAGATCAGAAGTGGGATAGTGAAACTTCCACGTCCTTGTTTGTACATCCTGATACGATGTGTTTCCCTTGTTATTTCTTTAATTGGCTAGTCATACGATCAGAAATATATTTTTGGAAATAGTAACTACCCTTGTTTAAAAGGACAAATTAGCACTTTGTTTTCGTGTTTCGTATAATATACGTAAGTAAGACGTGATGTGACGGTGTGATCAAGTTTTATAATGTCAACTTTGGTGAGTACGTTCCAATTGTTTTCTTCTCCGCTTTAAAATAACAAATAGAAGTTGTATTTGTTAGCTTTTTGTGTAAATTTTAGAATGGCTCAATTTCACCGCCCTCACGTCTGCGAGCCCACAAGTGAGCCCGCATCCTAACCTAATTAACCTTTTTTTTTTTAACGAGGGGCAATGCACTTCCACACCCCTGCGCCGGGCCAGTGTGCAATGGCGCAGGGAGTGTGGGACTCGCCTACAGTCGTTCGGCCATACCCACTAAAACCCCTCTAGCCCTCCTCCTCGCCATATGGCCGGGTTACGGGTACGCGTGAGCATTCTTCCGCGACCCAGCCCCACACCTCAAACTCCGACCACGAGGGATGCAGGGGGGCAGGATAAACCAGTACCCTTCCCACATCCCTCGCGGCCCCTCCATCCCTCCGGCCACGAGGGATGCAAGGTGGGCAGGATAAACCAGTACCCTCCCACAGCCCTCGCGGCCTCCACACGTCCACGGCCACGAGGGATGCAGGGGGCAGGATAAACCAGCACCCTTCCCACATCCCTCGCGGCCCCACACCTCAAACTCCGGCCACGAGGGATGCAAGGAGGGCAGGATAAACCAGTACCCTTCCCGCATCCCCCGCGGCCCCACCACCATAGGCAGTACGGAGGCAGACAATCGTCCACCTCCGGCGCCTCCAACGGTTGGGGCCCGGCTAGCGCGCTAGACCTGTCGGAACACCATCGACTAGTCCTGCGCGCACCGCCAGGCCCGGGTCCGGCTAGCGCGCTAGACCTATCGACACCTCGTCGACTAGTCCTGCGCGCACCGCCAGACCCTGGTGTTTGGTTCGCGGGGCTTGCGCCCTACCCCGACACGAATGCCGGGGCGTTCCCCTATCCACCACCCGGGGACGCGATGCCGGGGCGTTCCCCTATCCACCACCCGGGGACGCTCCACGTCGGAGTTCACCTCTCCGCCCACCCGGACAACCGAGCAGGTCCATGGAGCCTAAACTACCCTAACTTATCCTAGCTAACCTAGCTATCCTAACTACCAGTGTTTGGTTCGCGGGGCTTTCGCCCTACCCCGACGCAATGTCGGGGCATACCCCTATCCACCACCCGGGGACGCGCCACGTCGGAGTTCACCTCTCCGCCCACTCGGACAACCGAGCAGGTCCGTGGAGGATAAACCAGTACCCTTCCCGCATCCCCCGCGGCCCCACCACCATAGGCAGCACGGTGGCGGACAATCGTCCACCTCCGGCGCCTCCACCGGTTGGGGCCCGGCTAGCGCGCTAGACCTGTCGGGACACCATAGACTAGTCCTGCGCGCACCGCCAGGCCCGGGTCCGACTGGCGCGCTAGACCTGTCGACACCTCGTCGACTAGTCCTGCGCGCACCACCAGACCCTGGTGTTTGATTCGCGGGGCTTACGCCCTACCCCGACACGAATGCCGGGGCGTTCCCCTATCCACCACCCGGGGACGCGCCACGTCGGAGTTCACCTCTCCGCCCACCCGGACAACCGAGCAGGTCCGTGGAAGTCCGCGGTGCCTGTGGCAACCATCAGCGCCGAGCCCGTTCCTGCCGTTGAGCCTGCCGTGTCGATGCCGCCGCCGTCGCAGTTGGGCGAAGCTGTGACTGCGAGCTCGCTTCAAGGGTTCGCTTCAGGCTTCAACGACTCCGTCCTCACCGGAGCGTCCCGCGAGCGCTACGTCAGTCCAGGCCAGCGCCGCCGATCGCATCATCGATGCGATACGATCCATATATATACCGGTGAGATCTAACCAGCCTTATTATATTTCTAATTTTGATCCGAGAGAGTCCTAGACCGTGCTAGGTCTTCTAATAATTGGAGTGATCACGAATGTCTTTCTCGCATTGGTAATTGTTTACAAGGAGATGCTAAAACGTGGCTCAGTGAATGAGTAACGAATGACCGCAGTTGGAGTAATTTTAAAAACGAATTTAAGCCTTTGTCTTTATAAGAATTTTTTATAATATTATTATATTTTAAATCTAACCTTAATAAGAATATTGTAATTTCAGTGTGAATTGTGGGATGAAGTGTATTATAATTTTGAGTTAGAAAGCTGATGTTTTCTTCTGAGAAGATTTCCAAGAACCATGTGGTAATTACATTGTGTTTTTTAATACAATAGTACTATATTTTGTATTTTTTGTTGTTTTGACTATTATTCTATCTCACAACATATCAAATAAAGTATCAATGACTACACTTGATATTTTATGTACGTAAATAAAAATTATTCCATATTTACGTTAAAATGTTGCTAAATGTTTTTATATTCGTAATTACTTAGTAAAAGGCAATGAAATGAAAGTTCGCTTTGAAATTGTATAGAAGTTCTTAATAAAATAACAGGTGATGCTTCACAAAACCGAATCAAGCCAAATTTCCATTACATGTGTCTTAAACGATAGGGATAGAATATTCTGACACTGGTTTGGAAGATTTTTTGGGGTCGTAACTTAAGTTGAAAAAAAAGGAAGAAAACTACATAGGGTAAGTTAAGTTTGGAACAATAGAAAAGCGCAGGATAAGGAAAGCTAGGTTTATAACATGTAATAAATTACCAAAAGCAAACTGGAAAGGTTAGGTTTGGAACATTTTTAATACCATAAAAAAACATCGAAAAAGCGAAAATATTTTCTATTATAACATGTGATTTTATAAAAATTGTGAGTGTCAGCATACCTGTTACAAAACTGAAAACATTATGAAACATTTTTTTTATCTTAATGAAATAAATTAAGACCCCGAAAAAAAATCTTCATAGCATATATTTCATCTTCAGCAATCTTCATAGCAATAATACTCATGATGATCATTTCCTAAAGTTTAAAATTGATTTTATGAAAACTTGGTTTGATTCGCTGTTGTAAAGTTGTACCAAATAAAATTATTATTCAAATGTTAAAAGACTTTGTTTATTGTTGTGTTTGGGTTGGACTTTAAAATGGGAGTGTGACTCACTTTCCAATGACAAATTGACCGAAATTTATTATTAAAAAGTACACATCTTTAGGTTTGTTTATAATAAAATTATGAATAACATCAACAATATGTGATTTTATAAAAACAAAGATATCTGTAATAGTTTATTTTTCTAAATAAACTAAGTTACCAGCAGTTACATCCAACCTCTGAAGTTTTTGTAACTTATTAAATTATGAGAATAAGCTTTACAGTTATAATTAACTACAAAGGAAGAACATTGTATGAACAACTTATCAATTTTTAATACTTTCTGTTTTTAGGTGTGAAACAAGTAAAAAGCAGTAGAAAACATAATCTATGCATTCACAGAAATAGAATTTGAATAAACATAAAATTTTACATTCTTTTCATATTTAAAAGAACTAAATGTTGAACTAGAACTTATGACCTTTTGCTGATTGCTGAAAAGTAAATTTACAACAAAAATTGATGAAAATAACATAAAAGTAAGTACAAGACATATGCCAAATTCTACATGGTAAGTGGTAAATATTAAGTATTAATAATAATTCCCAAAGCACATATTTCCAGCAATTATTTGAACAATTTTAACCTTTTAAATTGGCTTGATATTTAGTATAAAATGGTTTGCTCGAAACATGAAAAAGATTCAATAATAAAAATTAACTTAAACATTATTTAGGTTGTGTGTAGAATATCTCTCTATTATTGTTTCAAATATTGTAGATTAAACTGTAAATTGCGTCATATCATGACAAGTTTTTCAAACTAATTTGATTTATGATTCTATCTACATTTCACAAAAATGGGCAGGCAATAAAAGTTCCTATCTGTACCTGTAAAAACTAATCATCATTTTTACATGGTTTGTGAGTTCCATCATTGTAGAGAATTGAATTTCAAAGAAGTTTTGTAAGTAAATGGGGAGAAATCCATATAATCAAAGAAAACCAGTTTTTTTTTTAATAAGGTATGTAATTAGGTGAAAAGCAATAATTAAATTGATTATGTTGTAGACTTGAATCAATTAATTACCATTTCATACTGTTGCAGATGAATGATTGCACCTCTTCAAGTTCTACAGAATTATAAAATGAAGGAATCTGCTTCAGAATTACTGACTGCATGTCGCTGCAACATCTGTGCTGCAAAGTTTGATTGTTTGAAATATTGTAATTCTAAACTAAATTTTGAAATATAACTTATTATATGGAGTAGTTTAACCGCAAATCTAAAAAAAGAGTGGTGACTCTTTTTTGCAGGAAATGCACTAGCATAATAACTATATTAATGTCAATATTGATATAAAGATGTGTAACCTATACATTATTTATATTATAATTTAGTGTTTTATATTAGTTTGATGTTAATATTATGACAATTTTTAGAAATATGTATTAGACTTTAATATAAAATAT